GTTTTGGCCACACTTTGGTCACCGCCGGAGGTATTAAACGAAACGCCGACTGCTCTTCGGTCGAGAAGCTGGACGTCAACGGCGGACATGAGATCAACGATCAGATCATACGGACGTGTAATAGCTTTTGGAAACCAGTCGACCATTTATTGAACGGAGGCTTTGAAGAGATAGTGATGGGTCTGTCTTCACAACCGGCCGAACGCGAGGACAACGTTATTGTTGAAGATATTCGCGGCAATGTCTTCGGACCTCTCGAATTCACACGAAGAGATTTAATGGCCATTAATATCCAAAGAGGTGAGCATCTGATCGCAATATTTTGTTTGGTATTACAGATATTTAATAATATTCTGGTCATTATAGGCAGAGACCACGGATTGCCCGACTATTTGACTACTAGAAAAGAGTTGGGATTAGATGTCGAAGACATGAGTAAACTCAGTATTGAAGAGATTGCGGACAGACTCTGGAGTTATAACATTGGTTTAAATAATGTATTCATTTCTAGTTAATTGCGTTAAAAATGTTTACTAAATATGAATATTGCATAACAATCAGGGATTAAGAGAGAAAATAGTGAAAATATATAGGAATAGAACCGACAAAATGGATGTTTGGGTCGGAGGCCTATTGGAGACAACCCGCACCGGACCCGGAGTGCTCTTCGCACGGGTTATCACCGATCAGTTCAGGAGGATTAGAGACGCCGATAGGTTTTGGTTTGAAAATCAAAATAATGGGTGAGAGATGTCATGAGATTTCACTAAATTTTTTATTTAAATTTGATTAAAATTTTTAATTATAGATTATTTACAAGAGAAGAGATCGAGAGATTGAAAGCGTTGACTATTTATGACATTATTGTCAGCATTACTGGCATTAAATCGGATAATATTCAGCGACGGCTATTTCAGTTGCCCACAGGTATTGGTATCGAGAGTTGTGTTAACTATATTACACTATAAATTGTTTCTATCGTTAAACTTAAGACTCAAATCCCATATCAAATGAGTGCTCACAAGCGATGGCTAAATATTCATACGATTGTTTCAATATTTTCACAAATACTTCCGAAACGTGTCTCACATTGGGTGCCGTCACCAGAGATCGGGTGCTAAACGACAGGTGCACTAAAGCCCATACATACGACTATTTCATAGGCAATGAGTGGAGTTATGCGCTAACCTTCACGGGAATCGGTTTGTTCGGCATTTTCTGTGTTCTCGCACTCAAATGCATGACTAATAGCCGGCAAATGCAAAACGATAAGCAAAGGCAAAGCAATTCACGGATGAAGCGAATGACACTCAGCGAAGAAATCGCTTTAGGTTTGCTTTATTGTGGTCTTAAATGAGACAATCATTGACTTTAATTGATTGTCTAATTATGAATAACAGGCCAGGAATGGGTGGGCAAAAATGAGGGCTTGAGATGCGTTCAAATCATCTGCAAGTCGTCCAAAAAGTGTATTGACGTTAAGTTAGAAAACGGAACAAAAGCTGTCCGTAGTATTGATTTACGAGACGCGGCGGCCATTGAATTGCAGGCCAGCGCTAACCGAAAGCAGGATTATCTGCTTCTCAAAGTGGCCAATGAATACGATTTGGTTCTCAAGTTTGACTCCTATTACGAAAGGGAGAGATTCGCCACAAAAGTGGAGCTCTTTCTCGAAGAGATTGGAGTCGGAAGAGAAAGGATTGAATTGGACTTAAAGTCTATGTTGAAGACCGCCTACACTAAGGAGAGGCGACAGAAACACTTGGAACAGTTCTTCAGAGTTGTCTTCTCTCATGTAAGCCCTAATGGATGTCTATTTCATTCA